ACATGTGTTGCTGATTCTACCATGGAAGCCGAATATGTAGCAGCCTCTGAGGCAGCTAAGGAGGCAGTGTGGCTCAGAAACTTTCTGAAAGACTTGGCGGTTGTTCCTGCTATAGAAACGCCACTCACAATGTTTTGTGATAATAGTGGAGCAGTTGCAAATTCAAAGGAGCCACGAAGTCATAAGAAGGCAAAGCACATTGAGCGAAAGTACCATTTGATTCGAGACATAGTACAGAGAGGAGATGTGATGGTTGCGAAGATTGCATCAGAGAACAACCTGGCAGACCCTTTCACAAAAGCTTTACCGCAAAAGTCTTTTGATAGACATGTTGAAGGAATGGGTGTTAGAGTTGTAGGTGCATGGTTATGAGTCTAAGTGGGAGATTGTTAGGATATACTATTAACCATGCGTTTTGATATAGTATTATGAATAAACAATTGTTCAATAATAATACTATATCAAAACGCATGGTTAATAGTATATCCTAACAATCTCCCACTTAGACTCATAACCATGCACCTACAACTCTAACACCCATTCCTTCAATATGTCCATCAAAAGACTTTTGTGGTAAAGCTTTTGTGAAAGGGTCTGCCAGGTTGTTCTCTGATGCAATCTTCGCAACCATCACATCTCCTCTCTGTACTATGTCTCGAATCAAATGGTACTTTCGCTCAATGTGCTTTGCCTTCTTATGACTTCGTGGTTCCTTTGAATTTGCAACCGCTCCACTATTATCACAAAACATTGTAAGTGGCATTTCTATTGCAGGAACAACCGCCAAGTCTTTCAGAAAGTTTCTGAGCCACACTGCCTACTTAGCTGCCTCAGAGGCTGCTACATATTCGGCTTCCATGGTAGAATCAGCAACACATGTATTCTTGATGCTTCTCCAAATAATGGCTCCACCTCCCAAGTAAACACATTTCCTGAGGTCGACTTTCTAGAGTCCATATCAGATTGGAAATCTGAGTCTGTGTACCCTATGGGCACCAACTCATCCGAATGAATGACTAACATGTAATCCCTAGTCCTTTTCAGGTACTTGATTATATGCTTAACTGCTGTCCAGTGTTCTCGTCCAGGATTAGACTGATATCTGCTAACCATGCCTACGGCAAAACATATATCAGGTCTAGTGCACAGCATTGCATACATGAGACTTCCTACAGCTGACGCATAAGGAACTGTCTTCATGCTTTCTGTTTCCTCATATGTCTTAGGACATTGATCCTTAGATACATAAATTCCATGTCTAAAAGGAAGAAATCCTTTCTTGGAATCATGCATGCTAAACCTGGTAAGAATTGTATCAATATAAAGAGCTTGAGATAAACCTAACATCCTTTTCTTGCGATCACGTAGAACCTTAATCCCAAGGATGTGAGCAGCTTCTCCCAAATCTTTCATATCAAAATTAGTGGACAACCATTCCTTGACTGAATTCATCAAGCCCACATTATTTCCTATGAGCAAGATATCATCTACATATAATACCAAAAACACCACTTTATCCCCATTCCACTTTTTGTACACACAAGACTCATCAAGACATTGCTCAAAACCAAAAGTCTTGACTGCATTGTCAAAGCAAGTGTTCCATGCCCTAGAAGCTTGCTTTAATCCATAAATGGATCTTTTAAGCTTGCACAACATGTGTTCTTTTCCTTTTTCTATGAAACCATCTGGTTGTCGCATAAATATGCTTTCATCAAGACTTCCATTAAGGAAAGCTGTCTTGACATCCATTTGCCAAATTTCATAATCATAATGAGCAGCAATGGATAAGAGAATTCTAATAGACTTAAGCATGACTACTGGCGAAAAAGTTTCCTCATAATCGATCCCTTCTTTTTGAGTAAACCCTTTTGCAACAAGTCTAGCTTTGTAAGTTTGCACTTTTCCATCTACTCCTCTCTTTTTCTTATAGATCTACTTCCATCCAATGGGTCTGACTCTATCTATAGGTGGTTCTACAATATCCAATGGGTTTGACTCCATCCAAAGGTGGTTCTACAAGATCCCATACTTTATTGGAGTACATGGACTCCATTTCTGATTTCATAGCAACGATCCATTTTTCTGCATCTTCATCTTGTAGTGCTTCGTCGTAATTCACAGGTTCGGTATTCGATTCTTCAGGGATTCTGTCAAAAGACTCTCCCAAGAGTGCATACCGAAGTGGTTTACTTATCACTCTACCACTACGACGAGACACTACAGTTGCAGGAGTAGGTTCAGAAAGATTTACATTATTATGATCTTGTGGTGGAACCACATCATTTGTAGGATCTTGAGTATCCATGTTATCTTCAGCACCTTGCGGTGCAGAGATATCAACAACTTCTTCCTCTAACACAATCTGCTCATTATTACTCCCACTACCTTGATGCAATGAATTTTCAGGAACTTGTACTTGTGGAATTATACGTTTATTAACATCTCTCCCACTACTACAATGCAATGGTATGTTAACTCCAACATATGGGGTTTGAATTTGGTTTCCATTATTTTCAGTAGATAACATATAGGGTTTGAATTTGGTTTCCATTATTTTCAGTAGACTGATTTGTTATCTCTTTGCTTAATTCCTGTAAAACTAGTTTACTTCTAGGAATATGGTTTGCTAAAAAATCCTTTTCCAGAAACTTGGCATTGGTAGTCACAATGACCTTCTTTTCTTTAGGATTATAAAACATACCACCTTTCATTCCTTTAGAGTATCCAATAAAAACACGTACTTCTGTTTTAGGTTCTAATTTTTCTGCCTTCCCTTTCAGCACATGTGCTGGACATCCCCAAACTCGAACATGTTTCAAACTAGGTTTGTGCCCAGTCCACAATTCAATGGGTGTCAAAGGAACAGATTTAGAAGGAACTAAGTTCAGAATGTAATTTGCAGTTTCTAATGCATATCCCCAAAACGAATAGGGCAAATCAGAGTAACTCATCATTGATCTAACCATTTCTAAAAGAGTTCTGTTTCTTCTTTCTGCTACACCATTCTGTTGTGGCGTTCTAGGTGCAGACATTTGAGATGTAATTCCTTGTTCTGATAAGTAACTAATGAACTCATTAGAGAGGTATTTGCCACCACGATCAGATCGCAATGACTTGATATATATTCCATGTCGTTTCTCCGTTTCAGCCTTAAACTCTTTGAATTTCTCAAAGCATTCAGACTTACGGCGCAACAAATAAATATATCCATATTTTGAGTAGTCATCAATGAAAGTCACGAAGTACTCATACCCACCTCTCGCTTGAATGTTCATTGGACCACATAAATCAGAATGAATTAACTCTAGTTTATCATTGACTTTATTTCCTTTTGAGGGAAAAGGTCTCTTAGTCATTTTTCCTTCTAAACAAGATTCACATGTTGGTAGTGCCTCCACTTTTTAATGAACCTAAAGGTCCATCTCGAACCAACCTTGAAATCCTATCTAGATTTATATGACATAGACGTAAGTGCCATAGATAAGTCTCATTAAAATCAAAAGAACGCTTTCTTTACTTGAAAGGTTAACATTATTCAGTTCTATGGTTTGTTGTAGTTCTGGAGAGACATTAATATAAAAGACCATCAATCAATGTACCAGCAGAGACAAATGTTTATTATAGCTAATAACACAACCGTTATCAGAAAAATTAACATCATAACCATCTCTCAAAACTTTAGAGACTGAAATTAAATTTCTTCTAACAGCAGGTGCATATAGAACGTCTTTTAAAATTAAAACTCTACCACTATCAAACGAAAAAGTAATATTTCCTAATGCTAAAACTAGAGTTGCTGAACCATCCTCTTGAAAAACGCTAACTTCACCTCTAATCAGCTTGCGCGTTTCTTGAAACCCCTGCAAAGTAGTGCAGATATAATCAGTGGCTCCTAAATCTACACACCATGAAGTGGTAGAAACAGCCGCTAAAAATGTTTCAACGACAAGTGAAAGTGAGTTACCTGGATTGTTTTTCTTCTTGGCTAAGAAAATTGGACAATGTGCCTTCCAATGGCCTGACATCTTGCAATGAAAACACTTGCCCTTAGACTTTTTCATGCCCCCTGTTGGAGGTGCAATTGCCTTAGCTTTGTGAGCCTTTTTCTTCTTCTGTCCACCTTGCGGTTTAGAAGTAGAACCTTTCTCAACATTTAGTGCCATGGAAGGTGCCTTTTTGACAAGTGTCTCTGCCGCCTGCAGCTCATTCAACAATTGTGCCAAAGATAGACTCATCTTATTCATATTATAATTTAGGCAAAACTGTTGAAAACTGTCAGGCAGAGACTGCAATATCATCTCAACTTGGGAGTCATTGTCAATTTCAGCCCCCAAGACCTCTAGTTCATTCAGAAGACCTATCATCTTCAGAACATGGTCTCTTACAGGAGTGCCTTCAACCATCTTAGTGTTCATGAGAGTTCTCATGGCAGTCTGCTTAGCTGATCGACCCTGGTCTCCAAACATTTGTTTGAGATTCTCCAGAATTTCAAAAGCAGATAACATAGCTTGATGTTGATGTTGCAACACATTTGACATTGAAGCCAAAATGTAACATCGCGCCATCTCATCAGCTTTGCACCATTTCTGATAAGCAAGCTTATCCTCATCACTAGACTGTTCATCTGGTTTCAATGGGAATTCCTCATGGAGTACAAACTTAAACTCTTCAGCAGTTAACACGATGTCAAGATTTCTCCTCCAGTCAACATAGTTAGAACCCTCTAGTTTGTTTTGACCCAAAATAGTACTAAGGGGATTAAAAGGAGAAATGTTGAATCTGAGATTGAAGAAATAGTACAATAGATCAATTAAACAGTCATATAAACATTGAATAGTTACATTCAAACTCATCATATACATATACATTCATGCATCTTGAATAGCCAATCGATGGGATTGGAGAACTACTCATACAATATACATATATAAGGACTGATTATTCATTCCATAAGCTTATACAGACCTAACTCAGATGGAGAGTCTACTGTTAGTTTAAGTCAAGTGAAAATCGTCTAGTTACATTGATCCAATCATATATTACTCAGTTTAGGAGAGTTAATACAGATTATCAAACTAGCGATTAAATACGTAGTGACTTGTATTAAATTCATCCGATGGGGAGGAAGGTCTAAGCCAACACATAAACTTAATACTTCATTACTATTTAATTGTGGTAATTAAATGAAAGAACTCTAATCACCATTTTTTTTTTCAAATTTTATACAAAAAAATTCCAAAAAAATAAAATTGCAACAAGAAGTTCCAGTTCTTTTATTATATAATCTAATAAATTATTTATATAATAAAACCAACTCTAGAATTAACAATTGCAGAATAAGATTTGTTCACTGCCATTATAAGATATAAACAACAAGCAGTGCAAAAAAAATTCAACAAATCACGGTCCAAAACAATTCCAAGACATATGAACCATTGGTTTATCATTAATAAAACCAATTTTCATAACATGTGCAAAAAATTGTTACTGCCGTTATTAACACAAATAATTCACTCAGCTTTTAACTACTACTATTCAACCAATTGAAAAGTTTTAATTTGCGTTAATCAGAAAAGGAAAACATGCAGGTCCACCATGAAACAAAATTTCATAAAGAAGTTGATAGGTTCATGTGAACTACGGGCATACAACCTTTTAAAATATACACTGTTAAAAAAAAATCCCACCGAGCCGCCGTCGTCAGAACTCT